AGACTGTTCTGCGCCAGGCACGTCCTAGAAGAGGCCGGGAGCGCTGAGGATGGAGATAAGGATAAAGGAACCGCAGGGCAGTGACGGAAGAGGTGAATGGGAGGTTGCTCAGTGGAGGCCTCCGTGGGGACTGGGGTTCTGATCTGTTGTCAAGCATGATTGTCATTGACCAAGAGAGTTGTCCTTTGTGCTGGTGTTTTGACTTCTGGATCTGGGGTCTGGAAGAGAGAGACCTATCACTTAACTGAACATTGATCCTGAGTCTGAGATATGGCTGTAAAGGCCTAGAAACTATAGACAAATATGAAATTTTGCTCGACTAAGTATCAGGAAGGACAGACTCTTAGGGATGTGATAACATTGAGCATTATCTCTGGGTTTTTGGCAAGTTCTATAGGACACAGTAGAAGGACGAGTGAATGTGGTCAGTACGCCCGCGATAGTGTCCTTCAGGCGGTGGGAGATGAAGGAGTACGAGAAGAACTGAAAACACACAAGTCAGAGCCAAGGGCCTCCTGACCCTGGAGAGCATGGAGCCCTAAGGACAACTTAGTGACCCCTGGAGGACTCACCCTGCTCTTCATTTCTGTTTTTGCTTTGGTAAACCTCAGGCAAACCCCTTGAGGATAGGGGTGACAATTCTGACTTTTTTTTTCGGTAGATGGCTGACATTATTGAACAAATTGCAAATATAGAAACTCTTAGAGGGACACATTTTCTGTCTGTCAGCCCAGCTCTGTCGAGTGTCACATCAACACTGAGGGGTGATGCCCTGTGTCTGCGTGAAGGAGGCGGACTCTTGCTTTCTGCTGGGGTTCTGGCCTTTCTCTTGTTGATAACAGATGGCAGAAAGCTAGAAGCAGGGCAGCCTTTGGCCTAACCCACTCTGTGCTGCCCCGCCCACCCCGGGGCCCCTTGGTGCTCTTAGACCCTGGCCATGCTGGGAGCCAGTGACCGTGCCGCAGAGTTGGCAGCCCATCTGAGGGTTTTCCTTGGGAGCCCGAGTGTGTGGGGCTCTCGCAGAGGGTTATATCTAGGAATGCTGGGACCTTTCCGGTTTGGAAGCTCGTCAAGGAGTTCGGAGGAGGAGCCCTTCAGGCCTGCATGAAGCGGGCTCTTCAGCAATTCAGTGTGGAATTTTGTAAAACTGACTGAACGTTGGAGTGTGGTGGTTTTTAAACCACCCGACTCTTTCAGAGAGTCACTTGTGATCATAAATTCTATTGAAAAGGAAGTTGTCTTCCTCTGATGTTTGCCTGTTTCAGTGGAAATACGGAAATTAAACACTTGCGTCTATAACGAGTACTTGTCTCAAGGGTGGCATTGAAAATACATTGACTACATTGTAATTGAAATGCATGTTGGCTGACCAAGGGAAGGAGAAATACAGTGCTGCATGCTCAGATTCCACCGTGAAAAGCCAGACTCTCCCTTTCCCAGGTCTGTTTACTTGTGCCTGGCCTTCCTCCCGTCCCCTCCCTTCCTCACCATCTCTACAACCCCCTTATCTTACAGACTTTCTCTACACTTAGGACCAGGATTTCCCCTCTCTTCCCTTGACTGGGGATGATTGGTGCCAGCAGCTTCAGGGCTTAGCTGTTTAAAATGAGATTTTCGAGCTCATTGGGGCAGGGCATCTACTCCAACAGGGTCCCTTCTCCTCCCCTGCCGACTCTTCTCTCCCTGGTTGAACTTTCCTTATTCTGATCGATGTTAAACTCTGAAATGAATTACATGTAGACACGGTGGGGAAAACAACCTTCGTTTACATTTGGCAGAAGTTAAGGCTTCTTATCTATGAGGTTCTAGAAAACATTCCTTAAAAGTCAAATTTTGCTGATGGAACAGTTAACAAACTCAGCAATAACAATTACACCAGACTCTCTGGCTATTAGTTAGTAAACTGAGTGCAAGAAAAGAAAGAAGGAAAGAAAGAAAGAAAGAAAGAAAGAAAGAAAGAAAGAAAGAAAGAACAAAATAACTTTTTGTCTGAGATCTTAGCATATTTGCTTTTTTCTGAAAATGATTTCTACAGTTCTGTGCTGTATCTACAAGACCTCGAAATGATGCTTTAAAATTAAACCCTGAAAGAAAAAAAATAACATTAGGAAAGAGCACACCACAGAGAAGGACCCAGGGCTATTTTTTTTAGTTCAATGGAACGCTATTTTCTGTGCTTCATTTGCTGCCTAGCAGTATGAGAAGTTCATGGTCTTCAATAAATGGACATGTCCAAGGTCATGTCATTTATGAAATAAGTAATATTCTTAAAATGCCTTCTAGTTCTGATCTAGTGAAGGACACAGAGTCCTAAGTAAGCACCCAAGCACTGTTGCTGTCCTTTGGAAAAGGGAGAGGGATAATATCTGGATGAAGGTGAAGGTCAGAAGTGTGTTATTGAAAATATGAGAGTAACTAGGACATCGAAAGGCGATTCTGGGCTGGGCGTGGTGGTCCCCACCTGTAAGGTGAACATTGGGGAGGCTGAGGCAGGACAAGACCTGGAAGTCCAAGGCCAGCGTAGGCTACAAAGGTAAGTTTAAGGCGGGCTTCAACTGCATAGCGAAATCCTGTCTCAAAAAAATCAAATAGAATAAAATGAAAGGGTGATTCTGCAGTCACTTGGGGTTGAGCTGTAGCTCCTCAGGCTCCCAGGTCTCTCTGTGGCCTTTTTCTGCTCTGCTTTGGCTCCTGCAGGGTTAATCCACTCCCAGGCTCACAGCTCACTGTGGTACCTGCCTACCCCCCACCCGAGGCCTTGGGCACACATGCTCCACTGTCCCCATGACCCCTGCTGCTTTCCTCCCATAAAAGGAGGACTCCCCTGGGTACTTTGCATTGTCCTTTGCTCCTGTGCATTTTAGCACCAGGCATGATGCGTGGAGCTCAGCACACAGCCGGCTGTTCAGGGTCCAATGGGAAGGAGAATGGGCTTTGCAGTCCCACGGCCACTGCGCGGGTGGAATGTTCTGGAAATGCTCACAGGATGTTACAGAGGGTCAGCGAGCCAGGAATTCAGCAGGGACTTAGGTCATGTCCAGCGGGTGGCTTGTGGTGCAGAAGGGTGCCAGTAAGGGATCTGAGGAAGACACAACAGAACTATGCTTCGAGCAGTTGAGGCTGGGAGAATCCACTGGCTGGCATGCAGGGAGGCTCAGGCTGACCGGAGGTGCGGGGCAGGGGCTCGGCTGGCTGCTGGCACCTGCGTGACCCTAGGCACGCCTGCTTGCTAGTCCCTGCGTCTTTCCTCCCACACGTAATGTGACAATGGCTCCGCAGCTGCAGGGAAGATGTAGGTGAGGCTATGAACGCAATAGAGAGGCCTTTGGGTCAGCCAGTGCCTAACACAGTGCTCATCCATCGTGGCATTTCATATAGAGATGAGTGGGTCATCCAGATGACAGGCAGTGAGCGCCCAGAATTCCAAACTAGGACAGTGTCTATAGGATCGGACAAGTTCATTTTGCTATATTCACTTACCTCCAGATGAGGTTTAATGAGAGAAGTTTGAAACTTCAAAAAAAAAAAAATTTAACCTATATTTTACCTGTACATATTTCAACTGATGATCTACATTGATGGGTGATGCTTTTAATAAATAACATCATTTATAAACTTATATTTAGAATTGAAGAGGAAGCTCTAGAGGAGATTGTATTTAAAACTGACTTGGGAATGGAGTACTACTCAGCCCCAAAGAAGGATAAATTTGAGTCACTTGTGAGACAATGGGTGGATCTTGAGACTGCAGTTCTAAGTGAAATTAATCAGACAAAGTTAAATATCATATAGTTTCTCTGATATGAGGAACCCCCACTATAAATAATTTAAAGAGCAAAATAAAAGAAAAATGGACAGGGAGATTGTGAAGATGAGAAGGTGGTCTGGAGAAAGGGGGAGGGGACATAATCATGATGTAATATCTGTATGACAACTTCCACGAGGTTAACATAGTATAATTGCTGGGAATGTCAAACAAATGCCTTTTTTAAAAAAAAAAAAAATATGTGTTTGATACAGGGTCTTGCTATGCAACTCGGACTTGTAGTAAACCCGGTCTCCGTGGCTGGCTCAGCACTCTTGGGGGTTGGGCCAGTGTGGCATGTGGTGCTGGGGATTGAATCCTGGTCCCTGTGCTTGCCTAAGCAGGCACTTAGTCTGCTGAGCTATCTTGCTGGCCCTCAAACATATCTTTTTTTTTTTTTTTTTTTTTTTTTTTTTTTTTGTGGAACCGGGGATTGAACTCAGACCCTTATGCTTGCCAGGGAAGCACTTATTCCACTGAGCTATCTCCCTGGCCTTTAGTATCTATTTTTAAAAATTAATTTTATTGAGAAACAAATAGCAATGAGACCGTTTCAAAACAGGTTAGTAGGACAGTTACAGTAATTAATACATTGCGTATTGTTGTCGTCGTAGGAGTTATTCATAGTACAAGTTACAGACATGATATCCTGTCCAAACACTATTAGTACAAATCTTTCTTTTCACTGAATTAAGAGAAAGTAGCTGTGTATCTATCCTATTTTGTATGCACATATACAAAATGGTCCTTCATTTATAGTCTCTTATATTGTTTAGCTTTGTCGGAGATGGGTATTCCATTGCCATTTAAATATTGTAGGTGTGTGAATTCAGCAAAGTTATCTAATATAGGCCAGTAGTCCATAATAGTAGTGGGTTATCCATAGGACTGGCAATGTCAGAAGTTGTTTCAACTGGGCATGGTGGCGCGTGCCTATAACCCCAGCTCTTGGGAGGCTGTAAATGTGTGGATCACTATGAGTCTGATCTAATAGGAAGACCCTGAACATCCTGTAGACCCTTCCCTAAAATACAAAAAAAAAAAAAAAAGTTGTCTCAAACATATCCTAATACAAACATAAAACTGCCTTGGGGGAATTCTGAGAAGGGTGAAAATTCTTTGTCCTTTGATGCTTTGCTTGTGTTGCTTTGTTTGTTTGTTTGTTTAAAGGATGTTTCCAATTCCTTTTTCACAGCTGAACACGTTCCAGGCGGTTTTGGCCTACGATAGGTCTGATAGCTTCGCAATCTTTCTCTACCCCGCCGACGGGCTGCAGTTCTTTGGCACTCGCCCCAAAGAGTCTTACAACGTCCAGCTGCTGCTTCCAGCTCGGGTGGGCTTCTGCAGAGGGGAGGCCGAGGACATGAAGCGAGAAGGGCCGTACTTCAGCCTGACTAGCACTGAACAGTCTGTGAAAAATCTCTACCAGTAAGTAAAAGAGCTCTTGGCCCTTGAATGTCATGACCTTTCATGGGCTTCTGACCTCCAGTGGCCACAGACCACTAAACAGTAGCTCAGTGGCTTGTAAGAAAGGCATCAGATCAAAGCCAGGGACTAAATGGAACCCTTGGGAGAACAGTTTCCCTTATTCTCCTGCCCTATTGGGTTTAGAAAATAGAAATAACAGTGCGTATATGTTTCTGTAGGGCTGTGTGTGTGTGTGTGTGTGTGTGTGTGTGTGTGTGTGTGTGTGTGTGTTTGCAGGGTCCACTGAGGCTCGCTATGAAAAACATTGTTTGTGGAGCCACATAAAAATCTGCAGGAAAATAGCTGCCTTGATGGTGGATTTGGGGGTTAATCATTTCATAGGAAGAGACGCTGTGAGTCTGTCTTTGGGATGGATACTGTTAAAAATTAAATTATGAGTAATCTAACCCAGAAAAAAATCAATAAATACAACTAATGGATGATAGATGGTTAGAAGTCTCAGGATGTCGTTATGCCTTCATGACCTGATGTCATGGTTTTCTGGGGGTGTGGCCAGAATTGCACCTGGTCCTTATTCCCAGTGTGGTTGCAGTCTGCTTCAGCATAACCCTTGTTGCATTGAGCCACAGTGATATTTATTAACTATGGTATTTTAGATTTTTGGTTTTCTTTCTTTCCTAGATACTAGTCCAGGGTTCCTAAGTTGCTTCCTGGCTTCTCTAGCTCCTTCTTGGTTTAGGAAGTCATTCCAGGTTGAGGAACTACTCACACTGTTCACTCCGCTCCGCCAGAGGGTGTGGCAGACAGCTCCAGCGGCAGATGGTTACTCGGAGCTCACATTGACTGGGGGCTTATGGTTTGCTAAGCATTTTGCTAAACGCTTCCAGATGTTGTCTTGATTAAAATTCACCAGAATCAAAGGAGACAAGCGCTACTATAGTCTCAATTTTACAGAGAAGCTTAGAAAGTTAAGTCAGTGGCCTGTGAGTTTGGAGTGGCCAAGCCGCAGTCAGAGCTCAGGCGTGAGACCTGAACCTCACCCTCCTTTGTGCTGAGTTCTTCTCTTCGTGTCAGGCGTCTTTAGGGCTCCATCTGAGCAGCCCTTGAATCCAGGTTCTGGGGTGTTTACTCATGCTCTCGTCCGTCCCCTCCCTCCTCTCTCCTGTGTACCCTTCTCTTCTACTCAGTAGCTCTCAGTGTCTGTACGCCTCAGATATTAGGAAGAGCTGAGAGGGGCCGAGCATTTGAAATTCACAGATTTTGAAAGCCCAGACTGTGCATACCAGCAACTTGTCCTCTGATAAGCTAGTTGGACTGATGGCTCAACCAGTGCAGAGTGCTAGAGTAGGTGCTGACATCTGCAAGGCCGCAGGAGCCAGCGGAGGCCAAGGAGCCTGTGGGAGAATCGTTGTGTTCCTCCACCAGAGGCCTAAACGCTCACGCACGCACGCACACACGCACACACACACACACGCGCGCGCGCGACACTTTTACTTATCCCTTCCAGGCCTCTCTCTCATTTTTATATTTGATGCCTCTCAAAAATCTCAGAATTATTCAAGAATAATTGTATAAGCGTGAGACACAGAGCCAAAATGAAGGACACAGATATTTTTAAAAGTGAAATTTACATTTCATATAAAACTAGGTGCAGTCAACAAACAACAATGTTAAATAAAAGAAAAAAATTACCCCTGGTTACTGTCTCAAGTGCAACCAGTAATTTTTTTTTTTTTTTGGGGGGGGGAAGGGGTGCTCAGGATGCCTTCAGGGCAGGTCTGGTTTGGCTTGAGGATGAGGGGATTGAACCACAGCATCCTGAGCCTGACTGCTTTGTTTCAGCAGGCACTTAAACACCTGAGCTAATGGGCAGGCCCCCCAGTGCAACCAGTATTAACAGTCCTTACAGAATTTCCTGTTGCTTTAGAAGATACCCAGGCAAATACCTAGCCCGAAGAGCAAAGGCCTTTTGTTCTCATAGAACTCAGTGAATTTTTAAATTATCTTATTAGTCATTCTTATTCCTTGCTGCTGACTTTGAAGGAAATTCCACAGTGTGGGAGAACTCAAGCGTAGCATTTTGTACAAACACCAGAAAAGTCTACAAATTCTTGTGTCCAAACTACTCAGGCCCTTCTCAGCTCAATTTTCACTTATTTTTTTTTTTAAACACCATATAGATATAATAGTTGTTTTCTTAAAAATGTATCACTGACTCAAAAAGTTACAGCTCACTAGGATATTTGGAAGGCTGAGTGGAGTCCTTGTTCTTCCCTAGTGGAGAAAATGAGTGATCTGTTTCCAAACATTTCTGGAAAGACTTGTACCTCTGACTCCTTTCCTTTTGACGAAGCTGTTCTTATTTCATCCTTAACTTGGTTCTACATTTGCTCAAGCCTGTTTAGACCTTTATATACTTTAAAAATGTATTCACACTGATTCTCCACGCTCTGTGGTTTAATTTATAGTCCAGTCCCTGTGAACAGGGTGTATGTTTAACATTCTGTAGAATAGTGGTGATCCCACTGCCAGTGGCGGTATTTTGGCTTCTTGCAATAGAATACAGTAGGGTAGATGTTTAGAACAGGGGCTTGTGGTGCTAGCAACTGACCTGAACCCAAGCTCTGCCAATGATTAGTTATGTGAACTCAGCAACAGTTAATTTCTCTAACCCATTTTTCTCTGAGTAAAATTAGGCGTTACCGCTGTTCCTACCTTATAGAGTGTAGTGAAAAGTGTCACGTGCTTGGCAGGAGGACCCCAGCGCCTAGCACTGGTCGCTGTTTATGTGTCTGGTGGTAAATTTGAAGCAAAAGTGTTCTTGAGTTGGTGGTGGTGGTGGTGGTGGTGGTGGTGGGGAATCAAATATTTCGATGCTGCCTGTTTGTTTTCAGCTAGATTTTTAGATAAGACACTTTGGCCTCCAGAGCAGATTTATAACTTGATAGCATGGCATTCTAAACATAGCATGAAATAAATTCCAGGATCATCTTTTTGGTTAGCGCAAAGTCTGCTTTTACAGTGCGTTATACCCCAGGAAACTCCTTGATCTGCTCTTCATAGTCTTTCAGTGTCAAGCTAAAGTGCTCACTTTGCGGGGAGGAGGGTGAGTGGATATTTTTGTTAGGATGAACTGTTTCCTTTCTGTTTAGACTAAGCAACATGGGGATCCCCGGAGTGTGGGCCTTTCATATTGGGAGCAGCTCCCCGCTGGACAACTTCCAGCCTGCCACAATTGGAAGCGATCTTCCTACAGCTCAACCTTGGGCTCCCCGGGAGCATCCAGGCAGCCACGCCGCCGCCCTGGAAGGTGACTACACAGAGGGCAATATGGATTACTACGACGAGAATGAGGAGGAAGTTGAATATCCCCCTAGCGACCTAGGGGAGACGCCGGACGCTCAGAGCACAGTGGACCACCCAGCAACTAGTGACGGGCTATCCTACCCTGAAACAGAATCTGCCAATGCGGACCCTCCAACCAAAGAGGCGGCAACCCTGGGAGGCGCGGAGACTCCTGCTTTAGGAGACCACGTGCAGCCCTTGGATCAGGCGGGGACCAGAAGCCCCGCTCTCTTAGAGGTCGATGGACATTCCCTGGATCCTTCCCAGGGGGGCTCCGCGCGCCAGCCTGGAGACCGAGCCGTGCAGCCCCACTCCGAGCGGAGACCCCTGCCTTCCGACCCCGACCCGCCCGCAGCCCGTCCACAGGGAGAAGTTCTTCCCGATTACGCTGGGCCTGGCCACCCTGCGCCGGTGGGTGGACAGAGGCCGGGGGTCGGCGTGGAGGATGAGATTGGCTCCGACACTGAGGGTGAGTGCACCACAAATGCTGCTGGTGACGTTTCATTTTTAAAATGTTAGTTTTGGCTGGATGGGGTGGTGTTCACTTGCGATCCCAGCACGCGGGGAGGCTGAGACAGGAGGATCACAAGTTTGATCTCAGTTGGGCAATTTAGCGACTTTAGCAGGACCCTGTCTCAAAATACAAAAAGGAGCAGGGATAGAAGTAGCTCAGTGCAAAGGCCCCGGGCTCAATCCCCAGTACTGGGGTGGGGTGTGGGGGTGGGAATCACAAGTTAGTTTTGTGTAGAGTTGCGATTTTTCTCTAAGGTGAAAAGTTTGGAAGAAAATTGGAACTGATTTTTATTCCCTGCGTTTCAGGATATAAATTTCCTTTGCCGCGTAAATCCTGGCAGGCAGATTCTGGTTGACGTCTCTTGACCATTAATAACGCGTTTTAAAAAACAGGCCTCAGGAAGTTAGGGGGAAGAGCAGCGGCTTGGCCGGCTCAGCCCTCGGGTGTAGTGAAGAATTGCAGCTAGGGAGCACAGTGGAGCTGAAATGTTCTGGGGTCTGGGGCTTTCGCTTTGAGAGGCGGGCTGTGCAGCTCGGAGGCGCAGGCCACCCTCTCCTCAGGACAGCCCCAAGCTCCCGGGTGGGAGCTGCACCGCCATATGGGGCTGCGGGAGCCCACCGCGGCTGCTGCCTTTTCTGGCTCCAGGCCGTGCAGCTGTGGCGGTCACTTCCCTGACTCCGCTGCCCTGACTCCCTGAGCATGGGGAGAGGGAGGCAAGGAGGGAAGGTGGCGGGGACGCAGGGCTTGGTCAGCCCAGGCCCAGACCCAGGTCGGAGCAGTCCTTGCTCCCGGCGCCAGCTCTCTCCCTGAGCTCCTACCCAGCCTCTCAGGTCCAAGGACCTCTAGTCAGAGCTCTACCAAGAGGAAGAGCCAGAGGCTAACGCTGGCTTTTGAACTGTTGCTCTTTTTTTCACCTTTTCTGTCTTCCCTCCCCTTTGTGACAGAACAGTCTTGCCCTAGCAAAGAGGGCCTCCTGGGCTTCTCTGCAGCATGGGTCTACAGGATTTTGCTTCAGAGGTACTTATTTCAGGGGGGAAGAAAATAATGTGTGACCAAGAGGATGCTGGTGATGGCTGGAGGGAACACACTGGCATCAGGTTTACATTTTAATTCTGGCTACCTTGAGGTGGCTTCTGTAGGCCTCCGATTTCTCATACCTTCATTGGGAGAATTAAATGAGATGATGTATGCGAAGTTTTTGGCATCACAGTAGTTGGTTCTTAGAAATTGTTGGCTGCCCTTACTAATTGTGGAAGATTGGGAATGGACGGAGAACGGGTAGAGAATGACAAATGATCTTATTCAAGAATTTTGTCTTGAGGTTCGATCCTGGGTGTGCTGTCAGCCCCGCCCCCAGGGCTCCCTGAGATAGTGACTGACACTGGGCATGGTGGCTCTGTCTGTAATTCCAGCACTTGGGGAGGCTGAGAACAGGAGGATCACTGTGAGTCTGATTTGTGTAGTGAGACCTTGTACTAAATACAAAACAAAACATTTGTCTCAATTGGTGTCTGAGGACCCACATTTTTGTAATGCTGAAGATGTGAATCTTAGCTAGGAGTAGTGGGCATGCCTGTAATCCCAGCACTCAGGAGGCTGAGGCAGGAGGATCCTTTCAAGTTCAAGACCAGCCTATGCTGCAAAGTGAGCTCAAGGCCACCCTGAGCTGTATGGTGAGACCCTGATTCAAAAAGAAAAATAATAATAATAATAATAATAATAATAATAATAATGGGAGTTTTGTAGAGGTTTCAGAACCTTTCAATCTCTCTAGTGATCTCCAGAATTTCCTCCCTGTGTTCTCTCTCTCTAAAGAGATACTAAAGTCAAGTAACAAAGATTTCCACAGAGGGACTTGGAGGTGAAGATGGCCTCAGTGGTGGCCTTTCCTTTGTGGCTTGTGATTTTCTGTCCTGGGAAGATCTTGGGAGCATTTAAAGCAGACCCTGGAGGTCACGTGTGGAAGTTAAGCGAGGGCTGGGCGCGCTGCTTTGAGCTGTGGCACACTGGAGGCTGGGTGGCAGCAGCAGTCTCCGTGCCGGAGCAACGCTGGGAGTGGCCCTGGCTGCTGAGAACCAGGTGGCAGCCATAACCCTTGGGGCGCCTAAGCTGTGATTCTTACCAACCGCCGGATATGAATGTAGTCTGCTGGCATCTTGGAAATGGCCAAATTCATGTGAAAAAAGGGGGTAATGGGGCCGGGGAGATGGCTCAGAGGAATAAGTGCTTCCTTGGCAAGTGTAGTGGTCTGAGTTCAATCCCCGGTTCTGCAAAAAAAAAAAAAAAAAAAAAAAGAAAGAAAGAAAGAAAGAAAGAAAGAAAGAAAGAAAAGAAAAGAGGGTAATGCACTGAGACATTTAGAGGGGAAGGCTATAGAAGTTTTAAAGTCATGGACAAAAAACCCGCAAAAAACAAAAAACCTAAAGATATTTTTAAAAGGGATTTAGGACAATGTATAAAGTATAGAAACATACAGCGGGTGTAATACCATTTTTTGGGCAATGAATTGTGTGTGGGATTTTTTTTCTCTCTTGAATGAAGCAGCAAAGCCCTCCAGGTGCAGGATGTACGTATGAGTTCACTAGGAGGCAGGTAGGGGTGTGTGGTAGAGATCCCCAGAACATTGTCCATGGAGACCAGCCATGTGGCACGCACCTGGCCATTCCTACTGATGGAGCAGGAAGTGCCTGGGCTTGGGTCTTGAGCTAGATTCCGTGTCTGCTCCTTGGTTTCAGGCAGGACACAGGCTCTGTTTGGCCTCTGTCTTCCTCAGCTTGGAAATGGAGACAATGCAGGCTTCATTCAGTAGTTACAGAGTTTTCTTTAAAATTCAGAAATCTAGAATCTTTTGAGGTTATGTCTCAAAAGCAAGAATGTCCAGGCAAGGATGTCCCAGCCCACCTAGGTTATATGACTTTCTTTGCTCTCTGTTCATAGAGAACAGAATCTTCCATGCAGTGGGTGGAAGCCACTTGCCCTGGAAGAGGCAAAGCAAGACTACAGCAAAGCCAGGAAAGAGTGAGGGAAAGCTGTCAGGTGGCACCCCAAGGAGGGCCTGAGGTGCAGCTTTGGCCCTGTTGGTCAGACTGGGAGGCCTCAGTGAGGGAGGCGGGCTGTAGTCAGGGCTTGGAGTCTGGACTACTCTGAGGTAAGAGAGGAGAAAAGTGTGAAAACATTCTGGACAGAGGAGTGACAAGAGTGAAGGAACAGGCAGGGAGATGGGGAGGGAAAGGAAAAGGAAGAGGAAGGGTGAGTATGAGAGGTGTTGCCAGGGAGGGCTGGGCAGGCTGGGTCCAGTTGCACTGTGAGAAGAGAAGAATTGAGTTGGCTTACCCAGGTCTACCGAGGTGCTGCTGTCCTGAAACTGAATTGAACCTGGGTCTGTGTGAAGAAATGGGAAGGGAGGGGACAGCTGGCTTTCAGACACCTCAGGTGTCCACACCCCATCCTTGTCTTTGCACTGGGATTGCAGTTGATGCTAGGAGAGCCCCGCGTAGGAACAGGGGTTTCCACAGCCCTGAGGCCCCTCCATGTCTGGCCATGAGAGGGGCTGTGGGAAAGGACACTTTCTGGGTATTCACCCAGAATGAGTTCCAGCAGGCTCTGTGTCCACTGCTGTCCTCCAGATGGGAAAATCCTGCCTCAGACACCACTAGATTGCTGAGAATGCCAATGGAGGCCTCATCCCCATGAAGACACAGCACGGGGGCAGTCCTTGCTAGGGTCCTCTTCCTCCTCTAGAAGTGGAGGGAGAGCCTGTGAGTGTATAGCAGAGGCCATAAGCGGCCACCCAGGCGCCTGAGATTTGCCACCAGCATCACTAGATACCACGTACATGGGCATGATAAAAACATACACCAAATGTTCACTTAAAAAATTTTATTACCATAAAAGGTACATCATCAGGGCTGGCCAAATAGCTCAGCAGATTAGGGCTGGGGGTTTGATCCCTGGGCCTGCTGTGCTGCTCTACCCCACCCCACCGCCCCTGTGCACTGACATTGTGATTGAGACTGGGTGTGGTGGCGTGCACCTATAATCCCAGCTCTTGGGAGGCTGTAAACAGGCAGACAAAAAAGGGCCAGGGAGATAGCTCAGTAGAATAAGCGCTTGCTTGGCAAGTGCAGGGTCCTGAGTTCAATCTCTGGTACCGCATAAAAAAAAAAAAAAAAGAAAGAAAACATGGTGTGTCCTCACCTTGGCCGTAGATATGGCACCTTGCGACTTCTGGGTTTCTCCTAATGTCAAAATGATGACGCAAGGGAAACATCTTAAGTTGACTCAGGACATGGAAGCGGCTATAACAGCCCAACAAAAGACACTCCTGAAAGAGTACATCCAGAGCTGTGTCAGAAAGTGTCAAGAATGATAGGCTAAGTTTGCTCAAAAGAAGACAGCATATCTGGGGGGATCAATGGGAGTGTATCTTTTATTGTAACACTTAAATGCAATAAACATTTACTGTAATTTTTAACTTTTTAATTTCATTTTATTAATCTTTTTATTTGTTTATTTGGTACAGGGTCTCACTATGCAGCTTAGACTCTTAGTGATCCTTCTGTCTCAGCCTTCCTGGAGCTGGGATTACAGGTGTGTGCTACCACGTCTGGTTTCTGTGACTGGCATGACATGCGGTACCGGGGATCCAGCTTGGGTCCTTGCACTTGCCCGGCAGGCACTTAGACTGCTGAGCTATCTCCTCAGCCCTACTGTATTCATTTTTTATTTATATTTTATTTTTAAATTTTTATTTATTTATTTATTTATTTTTGTCCTGCTCAGACTGCCTTAATGGCGGGTGTTGGGGTGACATGTGGAGCTGGAGATTGAACTGCGGTCCTGCAAGCCTGACTGGGTTTGCCCAGGCAGGTGCTTAAACAGCTGAGCTAACTGGCAAGCCCCCTGTATTTGTTTTTTAAATCACACTTCACACGTTAAAAACAAACCACCACGGA